GGTGACTTGTAAAGCTAACAGAAATGACAAATGCAACATGCCAGATGTGATTTATTCGCTTCTTTTCTTGAAAATCAACAAAAGCGTAAAATTCCCTCACTAAACAGATTTCCCAGTATTTCAAATCAACAACAACATGGTGGTAATATCTATTACAAAATTACAGAAATCAAAAAAGAATTTTAAAAAGTGTAATGCGACCTTTCAGGTTCCAAAAAAAAAAAATAGATTCGAAATATTGCATGTTTTGCACTAACATGATCGACTGGCAAAAACTATCAGTTATTAACTCGCGCGAGTCTGTCTAATTGAATAATTGAAGCCATAAGTAAAACTGCTTATTTACAGACAGAACAGAAAACAAAACATCACTGTAATTGTTCCAGCACAGACCTATGACAAGATTGGAGATAAGTTTGACTTTAGTCAGTTTTTGTCTTGAGACAAATTCCGACTTGTGTGAGTTGAGTGAAACTTTGTAAACCTGCCCTAATTGTAGCTGATTTTAGCTCAGTTCAGTCTTTCTAGTGCATCTCAAAAAGAATGGCATTTTATCAATGAAACATGGAAAAGCTCAGATACACATATAAAGTTAGGAAGAAGAGTCAAGTAACATTAAGTTCCACAATTCGCGGTAGTTAAAAGATCATCTCCTCTGCAGCATTTGCGTAAATTTAGTGACTATGTTTCCCGCACTCAGTTCAACGCCACCTAAGGCTGTCTGCAACTGACAAGCTAAATAACGGCTAAAACAGGCAATTACTAAAACTCAACTCGGCTCGGCCGGTTTGGAAACTAAGTTGAGATGACGGATAAAAGTAGAGAAAGGTAGAGGTGGAAGGGAAAGAAGAGAGGCGAGAGAAAGGGAGGGGAGAGCTGGTTAAAGCCTCAAGAAGTCAAAACGAAGGGAAAGGGGAGAGGATGAGGATACTAGTGGGTAAGGAGGTGAGATCTTGGTTGGACGTAGAAATTGAAAACATTGATAGAAATTGTGGTGGGGGTGAGTTGTATGGATTTATGATGTTCAGTAAGAAACTCGGTGATGACAGTAAGTTAAAAGTTTGTGAACGGCATGTAAAGTCACGGCCAAACAAAAAACCTGATGCCTGTTCACGACTACAAGTTT